ACGTCATCTTATCTCAGCCCTTTCTACTACATCAGTCATATTGTTCTCTTGCTTAGTAGCAGGGTAGAGTTAAGTGTGCGAAACTTTGAAGCAATAAAATGTTTTTCTTCAGCTTTAGATTGGACTGTATAGAAAAAAAAGACTTCAGAAGTGCCTCGGGGCCGGTTGCGAACGACGATAGCGATAACTTGTAAGCACACAAGTTAGTCTGCTTTGACTATGAAAGTTAATTTTTACGAAGATTTTTGGCCACATTCCTTTCACTGTTTTGAAAATATGATAGCATAGACGTAGGGTAACAAACACACTAACAATGTCATCACTTAGAAGCGGCCTCCATGTGATTTTTCGGCCTACTTTTATTACATGCTAGGGATGAAGATGACGAAATATTTCCAAATTTTTGGTCACTCTATGCGAGGAGTTGGGAATGAGGGTTGTGTCCTGCCCCACAGGACAGCCTTGCGGAGATCTAGAGTAAGCACCAAACAAACTTAACACTAAGACTAATACGCACGTCAACTCCTACATCAGGACATCATCATCGCCAACATAAATACTCATCCTCATGTTCACCATCACAATTACCATTACCGTCACCATCGCCAACATCATCATCATCATCATCATCTCATCATCATCATCATCATCATCATCATCATCATCACCATCATCATTACCAACTCAACAATTCCCCTTTCACATAACAATTTGCACCATTACTTTCTTTTTACGTAACCAACAAAGACGGTCACCAAAATCAAGACACGGAAAAAAAGCTTTGGATTGGACTTTATAGAAGAAAAAAAAGAAAAGAAAAGGAGGACAAAAGGGTAAGGCCAAAATGCAAAACTAGTTTTCAGGAAAGGATATAATTATAATTAGCTTTATTTAGGATAACGCTCATTTTTCATTAGAGAACTATTACTTCCTCAAGATGGTAACAAAGACCAGAGTGTTTATATCGAGAGTGACTGAAGTCTAATCTTCTATCTATATAAAACATTCACCCCCCCCCCCCCTTCTTGCGGTTTAAGTTTAAGTGACAAGGACAGAAAAATGACCTTGCTTCGCTAGCAAAACAGAAGAAATACGAACATAAACACTAGGGGTGTAGAAAGAAGTAAGTGTATAAATGCATCTCCTTGTATCAAACTTTTTCTTTCAGAACTTCAATGTTCTTTAAAAAGTGCAAATCAAATGAAAGTTTCTATAAAATGTGCTTTGAATTTCATTAAGTTCACTTATATGAGCATTAGTCTTGCATGCATTTGTTTAGTCCTTTTGTTTAGCCATGAAAGCTGCGTGCTCGTTTAATTTCTTTCTTTTTTTAAAAATGACCATTAGATTAAGCTCATCAGCACTTGTCTTGGATAAGAGTTAACAATTTTAAGTGATGCAATTTCCCGCAAATATAGACATAGACTATTTCGAATGCAGATTGTTTATATCACGCTGAATTTTAAGGTCAATAGCATTGTTTTTCCCAATTTTTGAAGTAAATGTATATTCTCTTCCGAATGGGATAAAAAACAAAACAACAACAATAATCCGTAATATTTTGGCAAATCAAAATGATAGCTTTCATGGGTCAAAACAAATTTGGCTAGTCTTTCACTTATCTTAAAACACAGCGTTCACCTTATTTTTCTCAAAGGTTTTTTTGCGCCTCTTATCGATTGTGAATTGATCACTGAGGACGTGGGGGGGGGGGCGATACTGCCTCTGCCTGTCAGAGCCAACCTTGCCAGGGCATGGAATGCATCCCAGCCTAAAGCCTAGATCCCAGCAGTATAACGGGGAACACAGGCAACACAGGAATCGAACCCAGATGCTTTGTGTGTTAGACGAAAAGCTCAAAATAGATAGATAGATAGATAGATAGATAGATAGATAGATAGATAGATAGATAGATAGATAGATAGATAGATAGATAGATAGATAGAAATGCTAGAATTTCTTTTAGCGCACTTTTATTTCTTTAAGGCCTAGCCGGGAAAAGCTTAATGATTTGCAAATTCTTGTCTTTTATCTTTCTGCATACCAAAAATTGGTGAATAAATAAATTGGAAGAATTTCAAGGGCGTTTGAAGCAACTCACTGTGCAATTGTGTTAAACAGGGCTGTCCTCGTTATGTCACCTTACGTTCCTATATGCTGTGTTCGGTCTGGGATATGTCACTATTTTGTTACGATGTAAAAAAAAAAAAAAAAGGGGGGGGGGTAGATTAAATGATTTTGCAAAATTATCCCCATTTTTACTTTCATGCTTTACTTACTACGTGGGCTGCTAAGCACCTCTTCTTTTTCTGCTACTAAACTGACATCACTTACAAAGTTGATATTTTTGTGATAATAGCTTGAAAGCAGGCACGAAATCTTTTTTTTTCTCTTCCAATACATTGTTCAACCAATTTTCGGGATATTTTGTTCTTATTTTCCCCCGCATAAACTCAATGAAAAACTCTTTGATTCACTCTGACAACTTTTGTTTTGCAGAAATGTTTTCCTTGAAGGGTGCGTTACCCACTTATACTAAAGGTACAATTACACAGACTTAATAAGTTGCCTGGGCTTCCTTGATATTGCAATGACTTACAACCTAGAGTATAAAAAAGACACGGCCAAATTAACCTATATCATTACTGTAATGGCTTTCTGTTCATTCTGTTATAAACAACACGAACAGGCTTCATTTCACAAATATAATTCTTCCTATGCCATTAATCCACCTCCACCCCCTCCCCCTCC